CTGTCCACCAGAGGGATAAGACCCAGTTTCACCCACCACTGGGCAGGAACCAGTCTCTGCCACCAGAAAGCTTACACAAGCCTCTTTGACAGGCCTCATCCACCAGGGAGCAGACAGCAGAAACAAGAATAACTACAGGCCTGCAGCTTGTGGAATAGAAATTGCTGTCACAGAAATTTAGACAAAATGAGATGGCAGGGGAGTATGTCCCAGACAAAGGAACAAGATAAAACCCCAGAAGAACAACTAAGTGAAGTGGAGGTAGGCAATCTACTCAAAAAAGAATTCAGAGTAATGACAGTAAATATGATCCAAGATCTTGGAAAAAGAACAGAGACACAAACCAAGAAGATATTAAACAAGAAATGTTTAATAAAGAGTAGAAGATTTGAAGAACAGACAGAGATGAAGAATATGATAACTGAAATGAAAAAATACACTAGAAGGAATCAATAGTAGAGTAAATGAGGCTGAAGAATGGATAAGTGAGTTTGTGGAACATAATAAAGAAAACAGAAAGAAAAGAAGTGAGGACTGTCTATGTGATCTGTGGGACAATATTAAACATACCAACATTTGCATTATAGGGTTCTGAAAGAAAGGATTGGGGGAAATATCTGATGAGATAACAGCTGAAAATTCCCTAACATGGAAAAGGAAACAGTCTTACAAGTCCAGAAAATGTAGAGTCCCAGGCAGGATAAAACTAAAGAGGAACATGCCAAGACATAGAGTAACCTTGGAGGCAAAATAAACAAGCAAAAAACCCCACTCTATTATTTCTTTTATTAAATATTAGCCCTCAGTTTTCACCTCATACTCTGTGAAGAAGTGAAGTGAAGGTGTTAGTTGCTCAGTCGTGTCTCTTTTCTACCCCATGGACTGTAGCCCACCAGGCTCCTCTTTCCATGGAATTCTCTAGGCAGGAATACTGGATTAGGTTGCCATACCCTTCTGTGGGGATCTTCCTGGTCCAAGGATCGAACCTGGGTCTCCTCCATTGCAGGTGAATTCTTTACTGTCTAAGCCTCCACAGAGGTCTGAGAATACTGGAATGGGTAGCCATTCCCTACCCATTTTGGGAAGGGATTTTCCCAATCCAGGGATCAAATCCATGTCTCCTCCATTGCAGGTGGATTCTTTAGCATCTGAGCTGGCAGGGCAACCCTCATACTCTGTGAATTCATGTAATCCTGTGGGTTTCCTTATGATGTTTAACTACCATTGTCTGAGGGGTAGATTTATATGCCCTGTCCAAGCATGGGAAACATTCCTCAGTGAAATATATTGTACATTTCTATAATATAATTGGATAAAATAGATATAACCATCTTATATAAAGCCCATTCAACCACATTAAGTTTTTATAAATTTTCATCCCAGTCCTTTCAACTCTTACTTAGACTTTTAACCATAGCCCTCCTTAGGACCCTATTAATAAGTCTTGGTCTTACAAGGGGTCCCAGAAACTTTCCTTTTTATCCCCCAGCCATTTTATTCACTTCTGTATAAAAAGCTTTGGGGTACCCAGTGAAGGGTAGAAACAAGGGACCTTAGTTGGCCTCTTGCCCAAGCAATTGTTTATCTGGTAATTTGGTCAGTATAATTTTTTTCTCTTCCAGACAAAAATTTTTCTTAACTGGGATGAATAGAGTGGCCTTGTCTGAGGTCCTTTAATGTTGAGGTGACCAATACAGGGTTCCTTTGGCCCACAGAACATTAGGTAGTTTTGTATCAAAACCTTGGTTTTAATCCCATCAAAGTCTGTTTTATTTATCCCATTTCTTAATGATCATCTAAAGATTTCCATGCTGCTGAGACCAGTCCCTTTAAAATTTCCATATTATTAGGAAGAAATGACTTACCCTCAGCTTTTATTTATTTTCTTGTTAATTAACCTAATTACCATTAGATATCATATTGTTTTTACTAGCATCTCTAAGACCCATTGAGAGGAAGCTGAGACCACAAACCTTGTTTATTTTAAACTAAGGGAGTCCTTAAGTTTAGCAGTTACATTTCTTTGTATCCACCTTTTAACTGGTCTTTCCATAGGTATTGGACTTACCCTGTAGCTCAGCTGGTCAAGAATCCGCCTGTGATGTGGGAGACCTGGCTTCGATCCCTATGTTGGGAAGATCTCCTGGAGAAGGGAGAGGCTACCCACTCCAGTATTCTGGCCTGGAGAATTCCATGGACTGTACAGTCCATGGGATCACAAAGAGTTGGATATGACTGAGCGACTTCCCAACCCAGGAATTGAACCTAGGTCTCCTGCATTGCGGGCAGATTCTTTACCAACTGAGCTAAAGCGACTTCCACTCACTTCCATAGTTATTACCAGTAAAACAGCTGTCTACAATGTGAGCTCTCTAAAAGTTTACTGACTTAGAATTTTTTTCCAATTTAAAGTCTCAATTTTTAGGATCAGTTCAGTTCAGTTTAGCTGCCTAAGATTAGGTAGAACATTTGTATCTCAAAGGCACAGGGAAATGATTCAAGTTCCTCCTAGAAGGGCTTTGGTTTTCTTATTGTCAGAATTTTGAATTATTGTTGTTTTCATGGGAATCAATTTTGGTGTTATAAAAAGGAAGCTTTTAAAAGAGGAAATGAGAAAGTAACTTCTTACGGAAAACTGACAAAAGATTGCTTGAAATTATATCAGAATTTTTAAAAGGTGCCTGAAGTTGGCCCTGCTCTCCACTGCTCCTCCCTGCTCCTCTAAGTATCTCCTTCAATGCTCTCTTACATGGTGTTCGACTCTCTCTGAACTTCCTTTTTATAACACCAAAATTGATTCCCATGAAAGCAACAATAATTCAGAAGGGTTGGTAAAGTTGTAATTATTTTGGCCAAAGAAGCTTTAAAAAACTTTTTTCCCCCCCATAATTCTGACAATAAGAAAACCAAAAAAAACCAAAACCCCTCAATCTTGAAATGGTGAAAGAACCCTATTCTGGTGATTTTTAGGTTGAGATTTCCTTTGGTATAGTGTCTCAAATTAAGTAAAGTGAAAGTGTTAATCGCTCAGTCATGTCTGACTCTTTGTGACCCCATGGATGGTAGCCCTCCAGGCTGCTCTGTCCATGGAATTCTCCAGGCAAGAATACTGGAGTGGGTTGCCATGTCCTTCTCCAGGGGATCTTCCCAAACCAGAGATTGGACCCAGGTCTCCTGCATTGCAGGCAGATTCTTTACCATCTCAGCTACCAGGGAAGCCCTTTATCCCAATTAAGTAAGTATTTGCAAGTGTAAGCTCCATATGTAATGTACATAAACCTGACTGTGATGTTAGTCATTGGTTAGTAATCTGTCATTCCTCTTTCTTTTGTCTAGAAAGCTTTCCCATTTCAGACTCTGTCAGGATAAGTTGCTATTCGTAACAGTATATGGTGGGCCCTTTTGCTGTTTATGAGCTTAACTCTCCTAGTTGTCACCCTGTAGTCATTTCAGATTTTTTACACATGTCTCAGTTTTTCTCTTTGACAGTCTAAAACCATGGTGAGCACTGGGAACCTAGGATCGCCAAACTTTTTGTGTGCGTTCCGCAGATTGGCGAGTTTCTTTAAAGAGTGGGTTTCCCTATGGGACTGCTGTGTGGTATAAGGACTGGTCTCCACCTCTGCTGCAAGCTTCTCAATTGCCTGAGAAAGCCATACCTGGCCAGGAGGAGCTCTGTTCCTTATCTATGGATCTAGAAGCTCTCATATGGTATTTACACTATATTCCAGACAACCGTATTAAAGTAGTCAGTTTAAGGAAAGACACCAGTCAGTTCCTGACCTATTCACCCAGCCTGAACCTTCCCAGGGTCTCTCCACTGGGTACTTCCTCAGTATCCCTGAACTGAGAAGTGAGGTACCTTTTCATCTACCACTGAATAAAATTCAGGATCGTCAACCAAGATGATAAATCTGAGATCATGAGAGATTCATCCAAATTTGTACGCACATGTAGAGAGGTGGATCGGCACAAGCGACCCTGCTGGTAGCAAGGCTCTAGATCCTTGTAAAGTTTTGTTGAGGGGATGAAGTCTTCTCTGGGTCCCTCTGTGGTCAGCAAAACTGTCCACTTGGAAGTAAAACCCACATAATGCAAAGCAGTGAGTTTCCTTTTTATTTGGGGATCTCACTGAGGAATATATCCTAGAACACAGCCTCTCCGATAGCTATGGGGGAACCGCTCTCAAGAGGTAGGGGAGGAGGTCTGGGAAATAGGAGTAATTAACTGTGTATCTTGGTAAAAGATTACTGCTAATTACCAAAAACCAGGGATCTCTAGTTAGTGATTTTAGTGCTTTTCTATGTATGAAAAGATCTTCAGTGTATGTATGTGCAAATCTTGGGTGATTAGAGTTCTTCCTTAGATGCATCTTAATGGTCTAGGAACCATGTATCCAAAAACACAGAATATTTCATCTTTTTTTCTTCCCCCCATCCTGAATTGCCTTCCTGGCACACTGTTGGTGGGCGACTTCCTTGAGTAGTGACTTAACTCTGTATAACTGGATGATGAGTGAGCCTCCTGGTTCTTTTTGTTTTCAACTGTGAGGAAGTGGGTGCAGCAGAATGGGGAGAGAGAAAGGGGGCAAGAGAGGGAGCAGGCTGTATTCTAGCCATATTATTTATGAATTGTGTGATCATGACAGTGGTCCTTAACTTCTGTGTGGCTAGTTTCCCTTCTGATAAATGCTGACAGTAGAACCCATCTTGCAGGATAGTGGCATAGAGATTCTAAACCTGTATCATCGTCTCTAGCACCCAGCAGTGGGTGGAGTCTCCATATGTGATGTCTTATCAAGATACCACTTGAATTACAGGAAATTGGAAAAGTTAACTTTGCAGAGCTAGGGACACCAGGAGGACTTTATTTTCCCCCAATATTTGACCCCACAAGGAAGGGCTATATCTAGGTTCCAAACATAAGGAGAACTCCATGAACACTACTGGGGCAGCAGACCTGAGGCCTGACCTTCTTTTCCCCACCATCAAGGCCTGAAGAGGATCTCTGCCTACATGAAGTCCAGCCGCTTCCACCCAAACCCTATGTTTCTGAAGCTTGCCGTGTGGGGCAACAAGTAATGCCTCCAACCAGAAGATGGACATGAGGAGCCAGTGCCCTGGAGACCAGGGGGACCTTCCTGCACACAGAACCTTCTTTCTCCTTCCGTTCACTCTAGATGGCTTCTTGGCCCCCTTATTTCTCTCCCACACCCCTTTCCATCCCTACTTTAAAGATTCAGTTTCCCATCATATTTGAGCAAGTTTCCTCCCCCACCCCACATTATTTCTCCTGCACTGAAGCCACCCAGGCTGTCCTTCCCTTCCATGGTTGCTTCTGCTGTGAGCAGCCCAGCCAGATCCCTGGCCCATAGCGCTCTGCTCTGAGCTCCCAGCACTGCCCTGAAGACCAGACCTGGCCAGGTGTGCAGACCTTGCTTCCCAGTGTGGTTCCCGCCCAGCCTATCTGATCCCCAGGAAAGCCTTATTCACACTGCTGTGTCTTGTCTTATTCCCTCCTGGCTTCCTGGAGACATGAATGACTGTGTTGGGTGTATAGGGGTGTCCATTTTATCTTCTGCTGTCTACTGCAAGGCCACATGGAGGGGAATGCATGTGTGTGTAGAGGGGATGGGGCTTTCTTTTTCATTTCTATCTCCACTTCAAGCACCTCCATTCCTTAGCATCAAGTCTCTGCAGAAGGGGAGCCCTTCTGTGCCTGGTTTCCTCTTTAATTCAGCATTCATGGGATGCCTCCTGTCAACTCGCAGCACTCTATGTTCAGGGGACTCTCAGGTGCTGGGGAAGGGGTCTGAGTAGTCTACTGATGGTGTGGGATCCTGGTGGATTCGCTTCTGTCACCCTTTCCTGGAAGCTTACCCTGCTTTAGATACCCTTCACGTGCATTCTTAAAACATATCTCAGTAAAGTCTGCCCCTACTATATTACAATCGTGTTTTACTTGTTTTCCTCTCCAGCTTGACCATAAAGTCACTGAGGAAAGAATCCGTGTCTTATTTGACTTTATGTCTCATATCTATTTTTCTGTCTGGCGCACAATAAATGTTTAACAAAAGTTGGAAATTTGAAAGAATGATCTCTAGTTAAAGCCCTGCAAAGTGTACAGTCATTATATGGATTTACAGGTCTGGATATAGTTATCTCAGCCACTTGAGGTAAAAACTAAATTTAAGAAGATTTAAAATCTACAGGTCTGGGGGAAAGCCATTAGGTCTCATTAACTTAAGCATTTAGTAGGCTGTAAATGGCCCTTGTATAACTTGACCTGAAATGGGCAGGTCTAGTGTAGCCACTCTGTGTGGTCAAGAGGTGGAGTGCCATTTTTTATCAGGATACCTGCACCTGCAAACTGCAAAAGTACTGCCTCAATACCTGAGGCATAGCCTCAAGTCTTAGTTCAAAACAAGGAGTAACTTTAGAGAAGTATCCTGTTGAGCAGTTCTCCAGATGGTCATTTACTGCAGTTTAAATAAACAGACAACAGTAAGAATAATGTCCTTAAGAAAAAAAGTCCTTAAGAATTAAATGATTAAAGGTAAAACTGGTATGACAGGAAAAAAAAAAAAAGCCCAGTAAAAGAGAGCAGCCAAGACGGTGTAGTATTAAAACTCTGAGCTCACCTTCTCTCATGAGCATACCAAAAGTCACTACTATCTGCGGAAGATGCATCAATCAAAAAGACTGCGACCTACCAGAAAAGATCTTCTGTAACTAAAAGACATAAAGAAAGAAGCACAATAAGACAGGTAGGCAGGAAGGACTTCTGCTATCATGAAATCCCATACCTCCCATGCGGGTGACCCACTAACTTGAGAATCATTATATTGCATAGGTTCTCCCGTACGTGGGCTAAATAACTTCAGTCGTGTCTGATTCTTTGTGACCCCATGAACTGTAGCCCACCAGGCTTCTCTGTCCACTGGATTCTCTAGGCAAGAATACTAGGGTGGGTTGCCATTTCCTCCTCCAAGGGATCTTCCCAACCCAGGGATCGAACCTGCATCTCCTGCATTGGCAGGCAGGTTCTTTACCACCAGCGCCACCTGGAAAACCCAGGTTCTTCTATAGGGGAACGGTTTTTGTTCACTACCAATATAATTTTATTGAAATATGGAATGTAAACAGAGGTTTTTTTTAAAAAAAAAACAATCTTTATAACAATGTATGACATTATTAAAAAGTTAATAAAGATTCTAAAGGGTGATGGAGTAGACATATTGAGCTGCACCCTAGTTGTGAGGTCCCTGGAACTGTGGCATGACTCTGCAGCCGGGGGGTAGGAGACTGCTTGTAAATTGTGAGTGAGAGCCGAGCCCCACAGCATGCTAGTCTAGTTTCCCAGCCTGGGAGTCTAGCACTGGGAAGATGAGCCCCTAGAGCGTCTAGCTTTGAAGGCCAGTGGGGAGTAACTGCAGGGGCCCCATAGGCCTGAGGGAAATGGGGATTACACTCTTAAAGGGCTTACATGAACCAGAGGGACCCCTGAAGCACTGGCCTTAGCCAATTAAGAGGCTGGACCTGCACTATCACAGATGCCCAAGGACTCTTAAAGCAGAATCAAAGGGCACAGTTAGGACGTGGTCTGTGTCAAGTCAAGAGACTGGGCTGCACTATAAGAAGTTCCTGGCTTACCCCTGGATCCTGACCATCAAGTGCATTGGTATCTCCCGCATTGACCTGAAATTACCTGCTATTAATACAACTTCCATGCCTAGTATTCCTCCATCATTGTTGTATCAGCAGAGAAAGATGAAGCTGATAGAGATCCCAAGCTAGAAGCCTACATAAAATGGAAGTTTATTCTTTCATGTCCCATGACAAATAGGCCAGGCTGTTGAGGCAGCACTGCTCCGTGAAGTTATTTGGGAACTGAGGCTCGTTTCATCCTGTGGCTCTGCCATTAGCAAGGTTGCTTCCTCATTTCCTTGGTAGCAGATGTAACATGAGTATGGGAAAGAAAACAGAGCAAACCTAACTAAGCAACTTCCCAGGTTACAAGTAAGGCAGAAGTTGCAAACATCACAACTGATCACATTCCATTTGTGTCAGAGGTGTGGCTTTACCTAGTCACAAGGGTAGACACATATTTCAACAGACAAATAGATTTGGTGGCCAGTTTCAGTCTCTCCCACGTCCAGGAGAGAGAGGATAAAGGTTAAACCCAAGACAAGGAGAAACCTTGGGTTTAAGGCAGTGGTTTCAAGCAGGGAGAATAGAAACCAAAGTATTAAAGATAAGATCTTTATCTTCAGATAGACCAAAGGGGAGTGGTGTATTCTTTAGTGTTCCTTGTTGAAACAGGAAAATAATTTTTTGAAGGTATTGGTAGCTCACTAAATCTCTGGGGAGGCCAGGGAGTTGGTATTGGAAGCTGGGTAACTAGGAAGCGTGCCTAACCACATGGGGGGCTGTCCTAGAGACGGCCTCATGGCCACTGTGGGGCACAGATGCTGGAGCTCCTACCTGTGGCATGTGGTACCGGATGTGAATGTCTCATCACTGCTGCCTCCAGCATCCTGATCCCTCCAGCACCACCTGTGCCAGATTGATGCTCAGGGTCTGCTTCTTCAGAACTGAGGTCTTGTGTGCAGTTAGTAGAACCTGGGTCCCAGGCCTGTACCTCAGCCACAAGGGGGGCTGCAAAAGCAGGTGAATTCATTAGCATTAAGTTCTGCTGTGTATCACTAAATAATAACAGTGGCTTATAGACTTCCCTGGCGGTCCAGTGACTAGGAGTCCACCTACCAGTACAGGGGACGTGGGTGTGATCCCGGGTCTGGGAAGATGTCACACGCTGCAGGGCAACTGAGTCCGTGTGCCACAACTACTGAGCCTGCGCTCCAGGGTCCACAAGCTGCAACAAGAGAAGCCACTGCAAGGGGAGAAGCCTGTGCAGTGCAACTATAGGGTAGCCCCCACTCACCACAGCTAGAGAAAGCCCACACACAGCAACAAAGACTCTGCACAGCCAAAAATTATATATATATAAACATTGGCTTAATAGGACAGAAGTTTATTTCTCACGTGAAAAAAGGTCTGGAGGTAGATAGTTAAGCACTGGGAATGCTGGCTTCATAGCAGTCTTAATGACTTAGCTTTTAAACTTTATGCTTCATCATCCTGAATGGGTGTTTTCCATTCTCTGTGTCGCCTCATAGACACAAAACAGCTGCTAAAGCCCTGTCACATCTGCTTTGCAAACAGCAGGATGGAGAAAGAGGAGTGGGTCTTGCTCTTTCCCTCTTACAGAAAAATTTCCTGGAAGTAACATATAACACTTCTATTTATATCTCATTGGCTAGAACGTCATCATTTTGGAAATGACATCTTTTGCCTGGGAAGTAACATGCCCAGCAGGAGTGGAGATTCTGTGACAACAGAAGATGGGGACACGGATATCGAGAGTCAACTAGCCCCCTGGGGGAGGTGGGACCTGTAGTGTGAGAAGTTCCCCACTTGTGAGAAGGATGTTTAAAAGATACAGAGGACAGATGGCTAACAGAAACATCCTTTTGCACATGTGCATTTCCAATCATCACTACCATCACCACAACAGGATACTCACGCCTACCGTAATACAACCATCCCTGTACAAACAAAAATACATCTACCTTCTTTCACCAAAACAGGGACAACCCAGTGTCATCAACTACTGCATCCAGCTCCAAGTCTGGCATCTTGGGATAACATTCATATTGATATTCTGAAACTGCCAGATTAAGCATAATGTCAATGACTCCCAATTCAGTCCATATGAAGTAGTAAGGGAATGGGAGGTGGAAAAAAAGGCAAAATTAGATGAGCTCTGTAATTTAATAGAAAACAGCCTACACTCACATTTGCAAATAAGCTGTTTTGGCTTTATCTACCATGCATATAGGGGCTTCCCAGGTGGCTCAGTGGTAAAGAATATGTCTGCCAATGCAGGAGATGTGGGTTCAATCCGTGGGTTGGGAAGATCCCCTGGAGGAGGAAATGGCAACCCATTCCAGTATTCTTCCCTGGAAAAATCCCATAGACAGAGGAGACTGGCAGGCCACAGCCCATAGGGTTGCAAAGAG